GGCAGAATTACTTTCCAAGTTTACCAAGATTCCACAAGTTTACACATACACACTCAGAGACTCTCTTAATACTTTTCACTTTTTAAAATGTTTTTTCAGTGTTTTCTAAATATTTTGTGATAAACACATTATATGGTGAGGCTCATCTATTTATCAATGCAAGAGTTTTCTTTTTAATTATTTTATTTTATTTGAGAGAGTGTGTGTGTGAGCAAGGGACAGGGACAGAGAGAGAGAGAGACAGAGACAGAGAGAGAGAGAGAAAATCTCAGTGGGCTCCACACTCAGCACAGAGCTTGATGCAGAGCTTGATTCCATGACCCTGGGATCATGACTGAGCTGAAGTCAAAAGTCAGACACTCAACCAGCTGAGCCACCCAGGTGCCCCATATGCAAGGGGTTTTATGTTAAGGATGTAATTAGAATGTTGTTTATATTCACATTAACAATGCATGTTTTAACATTTTAATATTGATAGGGTTGTTGTGAGCATTAAATACGATTAATACAGGAAAATAACAGCACCTTTGGTAGGTATATGATTAATTCTTGCTTAATAACTTAAAAAAAAAAAGGATTGGGGTGCCTGGATGGCTCAGTTGGTTAAGCATCTGACTTCGGCTCAGGTCATCTCATGGTTCGTGAGTTCAAGCCCTGCATTGGGCTCTGTGCCACAGGTCAGAGCCTGGAGCCTGCTTCAGATTTGGTGCCTCCCTCTTTTTATGCCTTCCTCTACTCACACTCTGTCTCTCTCAAAAATAAATAAGCATTTAAAAAAAGGATGGACTCTCTGCATCAGAAATTTTAATATATCTTGGTGATTATGATTATCAGTGAGCATTGCCAAACTCATTCCTACCGTTTAACAGTCTCTATAAGATTATTTCCTTGCCAACATAGGTAATATCTCCAGCACTTACTAAGCTCCTACATTCTGCCTCATTAGCTCAAAGGCCAGGTACAACTGTGGCACACTGATCATGCACTAAACTTTGATGTTGTCAATTCAGAGGCATATTAGTTTGCTACTGCTGCCATAACACAGTACCCAGATGGGCTGTCTAAGCAACAAAAACTTATTTCCTCCTGGTTCGGAGGCCAGAAGTCCAAGGTCAAGGCGTTGATAGGGTTAGTTTCTTCTGAAGGTCTTTTTCCTTGGATTATAGATGGATGTCTTTATGTGGTTTTTATCTAATACATGTCTGTGTGTGACTTAATTTCTTCTTCTTTCAATGCTAATGACCAAATGATGTCATTTTACCCTAATTACTACTCTGAAGGCCATGTCTCCAAATGCAGTCACACTCTGAGGTGCTGGGGCTTAGGGCTTCAACATATGTTTTGTCCTTACCCTAAGGTGGACAGTTCAGCTCATAACAAGGAATTTTGCTTTCTGGTTGGGAGATGGAAGATAAGGATAAGGGAATTGCAGTTGCCTGCCCGCAGATTCAGCTCAACCTTGCTTCGAGATTTCGCATCAATCCTATTCTCTTGCAGAGGCCTTTACAAAGTTCTAATTCAATAGCTCAAGTGACTACTGACAGCATATCACTCTTGCTCTAAATCGTTCTCTGGGTTTCTAATCCAGTTCTGATAACAATAGCAGCTACAATGTATGGAGTATTACTGTGTGCCAGACACTATGCTAAGTCTTTAACTTATGTTTTCATTTCCTTCTTAATGAGTCTATGATCCACTTGATTCAATCTTAAGGTAGTGTTACCTATATATAATTAATAAATAATATATAATTAATATATAATATATAATGTGTAGTGTTACACTCCAACAGTGTAATCAGGGCTCTGTCGTTTTCTCCTTAGTGGGTCTCTCCATTTGCCAGCCAAGATCGTTGTCTGTGAATAATCCCAGACTAATATCCTACCAATGTAATAACAGGAGTACAGTATATCCCCCAAGCTCTGAAATAGACCACTCTGGGGAGGAATATGTTGAGCTGGCTCACGGTGGAAGAGGGTAGAGCACTATAATGGACAGATTCACTGGGCCTGTATAGTAAATTTGGCATGTGAATCTCACGAGAAGAGTAGGATGCTGCTACCAGAAGAAAGAAGAAGTGACACCTGACAGTTGAAATCATGAGGTAGCTACACAATATCTTGTCAGCTAACAGAGGTGTTTTAAGAAAGGTCTACACTGGCAAACCAGGTGGAAGCCTGCTGCTCCCAGCGTACAAGCATTCGCTCTAAATTCCACTGTCCACATCTCCATCCTCATGTTGCTTCAACTCTCAGCATCATTCAGCATGTGGAATTCTCGCTCATTCTTGAAAAGCTGTTTTTCCCATGGGTCATGTCTTAAGACCTGTCTGGTTTCTCTCTACCACTCATTCCCTTCTTCTCGTTCTTCTTTGCAGCTTTTGCTTTTCTAAGTGTTGAAGTGCTCTCAGCACTGAGCCTTCATCTTTATTTATATGATCAAATGAATGATCTAGATAATCTTAATCAATCCCCAAATCATAAATAATGTAGTAATAATAGCAATGATAGTGAGGATGGTGGTGATAGTAATGATAGAAAATACTTTCTTAGCACTATATGCTGCGTACTGTTGTAAGCACTCTACCTATATTAAGTAATTTAATTTACCACAGCACCTACGAGGTAGGTAGTTGTATCTCTATGATGGTTAATTTTGTGTCAGCTTGACTGGCCCTGGGATACCCTGATTAAACATTTCTGGGTGGGTCTGTGAGGGTGTTTCTGGACAAGATTAGCATTTGGACGGGTGGACTCAGGAAAGCAGATGGCCCTCTCCCATGTGGGTGGGCATCATCCAATTTGTTGAGGTCCTGAATAGAACAAAAGGGGAAGGAAGGAAGGATTCACCCCGTTTTTTTCCTCCCGTCTGCTTGCTTGAGCTGGGACAGCGGTCTTCTCTTGCCATTGGATTGGGATTTATACCATTAGCAACTCTAGTTCTCAGGTCTTTGGACTTGGACCATATTACACCACTGACTTTTCTGGGTCTTCAGCTTGCAGCTGGCAGATCATGGGACTTTTGGGCCTCCATAACCATGTGAGCCAATTCTTTGTAATCTCTCTCTCTTATCTATCAATCTATGTATGTATGTATGCATGTATGTCTGTCTATCTATCATCTATCTATCTATCTATCTATCTATCTATCTATCTATCTAATTGGTTCTGGTTTTTTGGCCAATGCTGGGTGACACAATCCCGATACGACAGATGAGGAAGCTCCAAGAGATTCAGTTACATGTGCCCTTCTCTGAGGTCACAGAAGTGGTACGTGGTAGAGCTGTGATTCACATGCAGATGCTCCAGCTTTCATGGTCTTAAAAGGTTGTTGCAGACATTGTCAGTGACCCTCTTACGTTCCTTGAACCTTCCAGTGAAGCTTGGCCACTTTCCACCTGCAACTTCGGGTCTGACACTATGAAGTCTCTTCTACTTATGCATGCAGCAGGCCAGGAGGATATCCTTGACCAATGACTTCTGGGAATTAGCCTTTAGATGGGAGTTCTGGGCCCTGTGTTTTGTACTTTTATAAAGACTTTCCTTGTCACCACCCACTTGAGTAACTGGCTTACTACTGTCTCTCTCTCTCTCTCTCTCTCTCTTTTTAAAGTTTATTTATTTATTTTGAGGCAGGGGAGTGGGCAGAGAGATAGAGAGAGAGAGAATCCCAAGCAGGCTCTATGCTGTCAGCTCAACACAGGGCTGTCTAACACAGGGCTCAAACACCAAACCATGAGACCATGACCTGGGCTGAAATCAAGAGTCAAACACATAACCAACTGAGTCACCCAGGTGCCCCACTACTGCCTCTTTAAAAGGCTACCTTCCCTTGCTTGAACCACTTCCCACTTTCCCTACTACTGTTTCCTGAACTTCCCAAATAATCTATTTGTATCCAGTTGCCTGTCTTAGGGTCTATTTCTGGCAGAACCTCCACCAAGACAAGTACAAACTATACATGCAGGTCACTGATCAGTGTGTCTACAGTCCAGACTTCTCTACTGAGCTCTTGATGCATACATCCAACTTCCTGATTGAATGTGTGTTTAAATGCTTACAAACAGCTCACCCTGAACAGGGGATACCAGAGAGCTTGGAATCTGTTTAACCTGCTTCTCTTCAAGTTCCTCCCAGTGTATTTTTAAATTATTATTAAATTATTAAATTAAATTAACTAATTTTCTTTTAGGGAGAGAGTGCCCAAGTGAGTGAGAGGCAGAGGGCATGGCAGAGAGAGAGAATCTTATGAGGGGCAGAAAAGTGAGAGAGAGAGACAGAGAGAGATTGAGAGAGAGAGAGAGAGAGAGAGAAAGTAGGGGTCACCTGGGGCAGGGCTCAAACGCATCCGAAGCAGGGCTCGAACTCATGAACTGTGAGATCAAGACCTGAGCCAAAGTCCAATACTTAACTGACTGAGCCACCCAGGTGCCCCTTTGTTATTAGTTTAGAGACAGAGAGAGAGAGAGAGAGAGCACATGTGAGCAGGGGAGAGTGGCAGAGGGGGAGAGAGAGAATCTTAAGCAGATTCCACGGCCAGCACAAAACCTGATGTGGGGCTTAATCCTATGACCTGAGCTGAAATCAAGAGTCAGACGCTCAACTGACAACCACCCAGGTGCCCCAATGTCCAGTGTATTCTTATTGGTGTGGGGTATGATATGCAAAGTACTTGCTGTGGTGTGAAGAGTCATTCTCACCTGCTCGCCACTCTGGACCATCTTCTTTTACTCCTACCTTACTCACTGGGCTCTAGGGCACTGGTATCTTTCAGGTTCCAAAATATGTCAAGAACGTTCCTTCCAAAAGCCCTGCACCTGCTCTTCCCTCTGCTTGGAAGAGTTGTCACACCCCTCAGGCCCCAGCTTCAAAGCCATCTCCTCCAAGACACCTTCCCTGACCACCCTCTCTGAAGGTGCTTCTCCCCTTCTAGTCGTTCTCCAAAACACCACTCTCTTTTATTTTTTTCATAGTACTTAACAACACTTGAAATGATCTTACCTATTTGTTTATATGTGTATCTCAGTCTTCCCCACTATCAAGGAAGGAGCTGTCTGTCCTGTCGCCATTCACTTCCCATGGGAATACTGGGCTGGCACTATGGAGACAATCTATGAACACTTGTTTGCACTCATACTGAGATTTTTAAACATAACATCCAGAATTTCTGCGAGTATACTTCACTGCCTATTTCCCTCACTTTCCAAATTGACCTCTCTTTATGGGAAATTTAATTGGAATGCTTTACATTTTTACCTCAGCTGTTTTAAATTTTTTTTTAACATTGATTTATTTTTGAGAGACAGAGAGACAGATCATGAGTGGGGGAGGGAGAGAAAGAGAGAGAGAGGGAAATACAGAATCTGAAGCAGGCTCCAGGTTCTGAACTGTCAACACAGAGCCCTACGTGGGGCTTGAACCCACAAACTGTGAGATCATGACCTGAGCTGAAGTCAGACACTTAACTGACTGAGCCACTCAGGCACCCCTTACCTCAACTGTTTCTAAAGAGTACTTAATCAGGTTTTTTTAAGACTCTCATTTGATTTTTTCATGTAAGAATTCCAACGTCTTTTTCTTATTAAAATGCCCAAATATGAGGACTTGAATATTGGCTTTTGAGTTTCACAAAATACATCTTTCTGAATTTGTTGTTTTTAAAATAAGACAACCCTCCTTGTGGTACACAAGAAATGATGCAGAAGTATTATGTAATTTATATATATTAAATATATCATTTAGAAGATACGATTATAGATTTAATCAGTTATGCCAGCTTCTCTACTTATTTTAGAGGAAAATTATATTAAATATGTTCCAAATAGATTAAAAGGTACTAATAGCCATTACTTTCAGTAGCAAGATGTATTATTGAAGATTTCAAAGTTTAATCCATTAGTTCAATTACAGTACTTAAGCAAAGCAGGTGCCGAGCACAAATCTCAAGACCTTTATCTCATTCTGTTGCTATTTTTCTAAATATGACTTTGAGTGGCTGATCTTTTAGAGTGTACAGTGACTTCTTCTAAAATGGACACGTTTTAGAAGATAATGTGAAATGAGTTTGAAATAATCATTACCGGACGCATAACAGACCACAAGATTTCAGGGAAGGGTGGGCAAGATAATTTGTTGGGTTTTCTCTAAATGAAAAGGGGCAAGGGAGAGAGAAATCCAAAAAGATGGTGCTAGACTGAGACTAGATTATGTGAAAATGCCCACCAAGGAGTTGAAAATATTTCTGAACTTGTGGACACCACTCTTCTACTTACAATTACTTATAAAATGGTTTGACAAATTGGCTTTTCGAGTACTCAAAATGGGTCAAACCTTTTACTTCCAGGAAGATGAAGTCCACATATTTCCTCCTATTCCTCCTTCTAAGTGCAACTAAAAGCTCTGGACATTATATATAAAACACACACAAGCAAGGCCACCTGCGTGGCTCGGTTGGTTGAGCATCCAATTTTGGCTCAGGTCATGATCTCATGATCTGTGAGTTTGAGCCCCACTTTGGGCTCACTGCTATCAGTGAGGAGCCCGCTTTGGATCCTCTGTCCCCCTAGATCTCTGCCCCTCCCCAACTTGCTCTCTCTCTCTCTCCATCTTTTAAAAATAAATAACATTAAAAAAACACATAAGTAGGCCTTTATGAGGTGGAGAGGTGGAGAGAAGAAAGCAAGACTTTCTGGACACTTCAGAACACGAGGCACGACAGATACAATGGTGAGTTCTTTGAGTTTTCTTTTAGCTTAATATACCCAGGACTAGGAGTTGAAGAAGCCATCACCCCTAAATGTCCATGAATACAAACAAAAAACAACAACAAAACAACAAAAAAGCAACCCCAATGAAAGCCGGCACCCTCTAGCCTGCGAACCAAGAAAGGGGCAGTCTAGCAAAACAGAAAAGTTTTAGGCAATAGTTTCTGTACTACAGCCTCACCCTGGCCCATCCTGCAGTTCGAGTGGGAGGTCTAGACTTCCACCCTTGTTAGACTATAACGCCCAAATCTCCTCACCAAGATGGTGTCAGAAAATGCTGATTAGGACACCAAGGCTTTCATCCCCACTGGTCGGTAACAAGAACGACTCCTCCCATGGTATCCGCGAAGACCATGCAGAGAGCCTAGACTTCCACCCCAACCCAGTAGTGAAAATGCACTCCACCCTCTCCCTGCTAGAGTAGTGGCAGAGGAGGCCTAAAGGAGAGGCAGGCCTTTACTACTGTCCAGCGATAACACCACCCCCCCATTCCGACTTTACCAACTGGAGAAGTATTAGTGGAGACCTAGTGGGGAACTGGGCTTCCAGTTCTGGCCAGTAGTAGTGAAGAAACCCCTCAGGTATCAATGGAGACAATGGAAAACTTGGACTTGTTTCCCTACTTGCAGTAATAAGGCAGTGCCTCCCTTTCCCATGCTGGAGTGGTGTCCAAAAAGCCAGCTAAAACAGAAAATTTAAATAATTTCTAGAGTCTCATAACATAACTTCTAAAATGTATAGGTTCTAACTGATATTCACTCATTATACTAAGAACTAGGAAGATCTCAAATTTAATGAGAAAAGATAATAATGGATGCTGTATTTGGTTTGATAGAGCTACCCTAACAAAACACCTAACAGAGAGTGGGTGGCTTGCACAATGAAAATTTATTTCTCAGAATAAAATAAAATTTCTCTGGAGACTGATAGTCCATGATCAAGGTGTTGGTAGGTTTGGTTTCCCCTGATTGGTTTCTCCTGAGGCCATCTTCCTTGCTTGCACTGAGTCCTCCCTCATGCAGCCTTTCCTCCATGCATGCACATCCCTGGTGTCTCCTTCTCTTCTTTTAAAGACACCATCGTATTGGATTAGGGCCCCATCCTATTAGCCTTATTTTGACTTAATCACTGCTTTGAAGGCTCCATAGTCACAAAAATTAGGGCCCACCCATATCATTCCTTTTAACCTTAATTCCCTCCTTACAGGTCCTATTTCCAAATATGGTTACATTCTGAAGTTTCAGAGAATGGGACTTCAACAAATACATTCGAGGGGGATACAATCCGTCCCATAATAAATATCAACATCAAGATGCCCGAGACTTTAGAATTATTGACAAAAGTTGTAATGTAGCATCATAAAGATGCTTCAATGATAAATTATGAACACACCTGAATCAAATGAAAAAACATCTCAGCAAAGAAATAAAAGTCTCAGCAAAGCATTTAGGGGGTATAAAGAAGAACCAGCTGGAAACTATAGAACTGAAGAATATAACAAACAAAATAAAAAAAAAAAAAACTTAGTGGATGAGTTCATCAGCAGAATGGAGGGCACAGAAGAAAGAATCTCATGAACTTGAAGACAGAACAATAGAAATTACCTAATCTGAACGACAGAGAAAAAACAGACTGGAAAAAAAAAACACAATAAAATATTCCTCAGGCACCTGTGGGACTAGAACGAAAGACTTAGCATTTGTTTCCTTAGAAGTCTGGAAGAAGAGAAGAAAGTGGGGACAGACAAATACTCAAAGAAATAATGGCTGAAAAGTCCCCATATTTGTTAAAAGGCATAACTCTGTAGATTCCAGAAGCTGAGTAAACTTCGAGCAGGCTAACCTCAAAGAAATCCACACCAAGTCATAGTCAGACACCTGAATCCTAACTAGTAGATGGTAAACTGTGCCCTTCTATAGACGGGTTGTATTGTAATGTTTAGAAAATGTGTAAACTAAAGTCAGGGGACTGGGGTTTGAACCTGGGATCTGCTATGCCAACACGTTCATCCTGGAGCAAATTACTGAATCTCTCTGAATTTCAGATTTGTCATCTGAAAAATAGGATAATAATATGCCTCCTCCAGCCCCAGGGAACTATCGTCAGGATTTAACGAGAAAATATATGTAAGGCATTTAGCACATGGCACATACTCAGTATATGTTATTTTCTTTTTCTTCCATACCCTTGACTCCTCACAAGCTCACAAGCTTTAGTAAGCTCAGAATGTAAAAGCCTTTCTTTAGACAAGATTAGCTGAGCTTTGGCCCCAAATACCAGAAGATCCATTACGTTTTCTAATCCCTTTACACTTAAAATGTTTATTTTCCTTTCAGCTGATTTTTCAACAGACACTGTTTCTTTTTGGGGAGACAATTTTAGCATCATATAGTTAAGAAGCTATATTCTGGAATCAGGCAGTTTAGGTCTAGACCCTGGGTCCACAATTAGGCAGCAATTTTCTTGGTCTCCTCGAAGCTCACTTTCCTTATCTGTGTCCTAGGATAAAACTATTGCCTACCTCCATTAGGGGTTGCTGTCCTGATGAAAGATTTATTATATGTAAAGAGCTTAGAGCTGTGCCTGGCCTTGGAAAAGCGCTCAGCAGGGACCGTAGCTATTTGTTGGAGACAGATGTACAGATTACCTTGTTGCTGGGGGCTCTTCTCAAGAAAATTCACCTTGGTCCCTGATCTTCTAGTATAGTTGCTGCTTTCAGATCTTGCCTTCGCCACCCTGTACCCCACACTCCTCCACGGAGTGGAGGCACTCCATTGTACAGGGTCTTCCTTAATGTCCTGGAAGGCAGGAGCTCTTTGAATATTGGTTCAGATTGAATTTGGCAGGGGTACAGTGTATTTAGGGTTCTCCAGACAAACAGAACAAATAGGATGCACTATTGTATAAATCCAATACAGTGCATATACATACAATACAATATACATTCAGTATGTATGTATATATCTATCTTATCTATATTTATATCTGTATATAAATCTCATAGCACTTCACATATGCATACACACATTATATATATACATTATATATAAAAACACATTTTTTATATGTGTGTGCGTGTGTGTGTGTGTATATATATATGTATATGTATATATGTATATATATATGTATATAAAGGAGAGAGGGATTTATTTTCAGGAATTGGCTCGTGCTAATGTGGGAGCTGGCAAGTCTGGAATCTGTAAAGCAAGCCTGTAGGTTGGAAATTTAAAAAGTTGGGATTGCAGTCTCGAGTCTAAAATCTGCAGGCTGGAAACTCAGACAGGGTTTCTAAGCAGTTCTTCCAAACCGGCAACTTCTTGGGGCACAGTAAATTCTCCAAAATTGGAATATTAACATAAGTGATTCATTTCCATAAACAGTCGTGTAGCATTATCTTCGAGAAGTTCAGCCATCTGGCTCTGCTGATGTCACTTAATTGTCCACTGCCTGGCTTAGTGTGATGGTGGGGCCACAGCACATCTCTCGGATACAGTGCAAAGATAACTGAAGTGTGATTTTCCTTGTCCTTGCATAAATGCACTGTCCACTTCAGTGATGGAACCAATGTTCATTTCCTCAGGTATTCGGGGAGGCCTGTGTGCGGCCTGAGGTGACTGGCAATGCATATTTAAATTGTTTTTGTGATGATTTAAGGTCACTTGTAGATCAGTGTCCTGGGCAGCCCCCATGCTAACGTGGCCGGCAACTGGACTTCGTTACAATATCCTAGGTTGGTAAGTCTGGCTAAAATACAGGGAAAGGTGACTCTTGCCTGGCCTGGGCAGAGGGAAGTGCTATAGAGAATTCAGAAGGAGACGCGGAGAAACAATACTTTATGTTTTCTTTTCACAAATATGAAGGAGGTAATTTCAGTGAAAATTGATCGTGACAAAAAATTATTGGAAAACCAAATCATAAAATAATATCAACTGATCAATTTTATGTGGAACATGTCAGAGTGTCTTCATAGACAATTAATAGATTTGGGAGCATGTTAGAGTCACCTACTCTGGCCTCTTTGCTCTTGGATGATGAAGCTGAGCCTAGAAAGGTACTGTGCTTGCCAATTAATTCATTAATCACTAGACAGTGGCAAAGTCAAGATGAAAACCAAGCATCGTGGCTTCCTGCCCAGGACTCTTTCTACCACACCCCACGTGAAATTATTCCTCAATGCTTTTAGCTTTTGCCTTTATTCCTTTAAGAATTCACTCTATAAAAATTCAGCTTTGCTTCAAATTATAAAACTTTTTTTTTTAATGTTTTATTTATTTCTAGGAGAGAGAGAGAGACAGCGTGAGCAGGGGAGGATCAGAGAGAGAGGGAGACACAGACTCTGAAACAGGCTCCAGGCTCTGAGCTGGCAGTCAGCACAGAGCCCGACGCGGGGCTCGAACCCACGAACCGCGAGATCATGACCTAAGCGAAAGTCGGACGCTTAACCGACTAAGCCACCCAGGCGCCCCTCAAATTATAAAACTTTTGATGGAGGGCAGGAATACACCAACTGAACTCAGATGCTTGTATTTGTACACCACTGCTTTTCCAAATGTTTTTATTCTTGTGGTGATTTGGGAGCTTCCATGGGATTCCTAGACCACATCAGTGCACACTGAGCTTTGGAGGTCCAGTCCCCAAGTCATTCATTCAACAAGGCACCCACCGTGTCCTGGGCAGGATGCCAGGTACCAGAATGACAGAGGTAAGTAAGTAAGAAATTATTTTTTGCAAAAGAGATTTCATTTAGTTGGAGAAAAGCTCATGTAATCAGACACAATACAGAGAAGAGACAGCAAGTGCTATGATACAAGGCCATGGACATTAATAAAGCACTTGTATCTTCAAGAGTTCAAGCGAGTTTCTTGAAAAAGTACCTTTTGAAGTGGTCTATGAGGTGAGAGTGGTTTATCAGGTCATGGAGGGAGAGGCTTCAGAGGACAGGGAAGGGTCCACGGGGAGGTGCACAGCACGTGGTCGGACAGGAAGAGAAGTTGAGGTGGGAGAAGAGGGTAGAGAGGGAGCCTGGGATCAGCTTGCAAGGGGTCTTACGCCACCCACTGAGGAGTACTTCTACCACGGAGGATTTTACCAGAAGGTAAGAATATATGTAATACAATGTCCCATCACAGAGACTTTCAAAAAGAGAGAATGGGGCTTGACATAGATTTATTTTTCTGAGAGATAATGCAGATACCCATTTCCTTCACCTAGGAACGAGGTGAAATATTCCTGACATGACATGTATTGTAGGAATCAAATGGTGTCTGTGAAAGTGCCTGGTAAATTGTGCAGCGAGATGTAGATGTGAAATATTTATTAATGTGACAGGCTAATAACACCAGATGATGAAACTCTTGTGAGGGGGGATATTGGGCTTCTGAACATCAGGGGCGTCTGAAGATTTAATCCTGAGGACATTTCTGCCAGATTCTGCAGGTCCGTGACAAGGAATTCATCACTGATGCCTTTCTCAAAATTGCCTTCGCCACACTGCACATGAATGTTCCACGCTTGGCTTTAAATTAGTGTCCCTACACGGGAACCTGGGTGGCTCAGTCAGTTAAGCGTCTGACTTCAGCTCAGGTCATGATCTTGAGGCCCATGAGTTCGAGCCCCGCATCGGGCTCTGTGCTGACAGCTCAGAACCTGGAGATTCTGGGTCTCCCTCTCTCTCTTCCCCTCCCTCACTCATGCTCTGTTTCTCTCTGTCTCTCAAAAATAAATAAATGTTAAAAATTTTTAAATAAATAAATTAGGGTTCCTACAAGAAGCAACATGGAAACTGCTTCTGTGTGTGCTGGGAAACCCTTTTCAGAAACTTAAATAGCTCAGTTTTTTCCATCTGAGTAAATAAAATAATTCATTACCATCCAGGATGATCACAGTCATTAAGTTATGAATTCATTAATGAATTAATACCAACTAAGGAAATAAGAGAGGGTGTACATGAAGATTCATATGCTAGAATGTTCACTGAGGTGTTATTTATAATAAGAAAGAAATCAGAAATGACTCTGAATGTCTCTCAATGGTGGGGAAAACCAAACTACAGTCTGCCCACAGGGCGGAATATTTTGTAACCATCAAAAATAATTTCAAAACAAACGATATGAAAAAGTGTTCATAATACTAAGTGAAAACAAATTGTAGGGCATGCCATTTGCTCCCTATTTGGGGCTGAAAGAAAAATAGTAGTCCCTCCCCAAAAGACCAAAAAGAATCGATCGAATTGTAATATTAAATTCTTTTATGCATAAAATAATTATGAAAGTTTTTTTTCTAAAATAAAAGTTTCCAGAGCTAGAGGAAAAACTATTAAAATAAGATTCATATTAAGTAATCTTGTGCTGAGACGTTATTATCCTTGATTATCCTTCTGTGGTTTATGCTTTTGTACTTTTGGCAGAGTCCAACTATTGGTTAGTCTGGGAGATTTTACTCTAATAATGAAGCTTCTGAGATCTTCAACACCCTTTTCTCCAAGAGCACTAAGAGACCACACTACTTTCTCATCACTCTATTTTCATTTGCCTCGTTAATTTAAAAAAACAAGAGTAATTTTATTTCAAAAACATTTTCTCTGGCCCAACAAAATATTCTGAGTGACAGAAATCAAACATGCTGAGGACACAAAAGAAGTTGCAAGTGTTATTTCTGCACAGAAAGAGCTTATAATTTATGTGGGAGAATGAGACAAACGTAGGGAACAAGTAAGACATGAGAATCATTGTGATTTCATCAGAGTAATACTGAATTTCCAAGATTAGTCCATCACTCTGGTTTGACACAGGAAGAAAAAGAAGCTAAGTGAAAAGTGATCTTTCTAGTATCGCACAAAGTCCAGGTATCCTGGTTCAATGGGGCTGTAAATGCAGGATACTACTCAAAATCCAAGAGGAAACCAAGGTCAGCACCCTCCGCGAAAGAGTTAAAGAAAAATGGGATGAGGGGGCTAGTTAATGACCATTCCCTGGGCGTTGACTCTTCTTCGGTATACATGGAGTCTGTGGGCTCTCAACCACTGAAACGATCTCATTGATGATATCCTGCTCAGCTGAGTTTCAGTTGTTCTTCCTTATACCTGGGGTATACATCCCCAGACCCCCAGTGGATGCGTCAAACTGCAGGTAGTACCAAACCCTATATACACACTATGTTTTTTCCGATACATACATACCTATGATAAAGTTTAGTTTATAAAGTAGGCACAGTAAGAGGTTAACAACAATAATAATACATAGAATGATTAAAGCAATAGGTAATAAAAGTTATGTGAATGTGATCTTCTCTCTGAAAATATCCTATTGAACCATACTCACCCTTCCTCTTCTTGTGATGATGTGAGGTGACAGAATGCCTATGTGATGAGATGAAGGGGTATGATGATGTAGGCACTATGATGTAATGTTAGGCTACTGCTGACCTTATGACAATTGGTCAGTTGGGCTGTGAATTAGGATGCTTTCATTTGCAACTGACAGAGACCCATCTCAAATCACAACAAAATAAATAAATTAGAAGTAGAGGAGGAATTTATTTTTTTAGTTTTATTAAAAAATGTTTAAATGTGTATTTATTTTTAAGAGAGAGACAGACAGACAAAGACAGAGACACAGTACAAGTTGGGGAGGGGCAGAGAGAGAGAGGGAGACACAGAATCTGAAGTAGGCTCCAGGTTCCAAGCTGTCAGCATAGAGCCCGAGGCAGGACTCGAACTCTCGAACTGCGAGATCATGACCTGAGCTGAAGTGGGACACTTAACCAACTGGGCCACCCGGGAGCCGCCAGGAGGA